CTTAGCAAGCAAGTAACACGTTACTTTTTGCACTGGCACGTTTTGCCAGGAGATGTTAAGGTTAGCTTAGTTCTTGCTGTTCAAATTTACCAACAAAGAAGCAGTGTCAACTTGTCAGTTATCTAATACTGCCTTCCACAAGCAGTCCACAAAAGTTAATGGGCACAGATCCTATACAGGAAATTCTTGCATGAGGTCTGGACAGGGCCCTTTAGCTTGCACAAGGAGCCACACTCTCACACCTCTTCCAGTTGCTATAAGTGGTGTGAACACAGTGCGGCATGACTTGCCATGGTCACAAAGGACATCTGTGATAGAAAAGAAACCAAAATAGATCATTAAATTTGGACTTCAGGAGCTGAATCATCTCTACCTTTCTTATCATTCAGCAATTTGCATGGCCTCTACTTCCATGTCAGGAAATGTCACTCATAGCTGGGTAGGTTTACCGCTTATCTCTCCTCCAGTCCCATGATCCTATAAAAAGATGAAAGGGTTGGAACCCCTCAGTCTTCTTTTTTGGCCTATTCTTGCATCTACCAAAGAGTCCCAGTGGTCACACTGCTATGTAAAGCCCTTACACATGAGGAAAAAAGACTGCTCCTTTATTGAACAACAGGTCAAATTTCTAAATGAGTATGAGAAGTTACAGATAAGATAAAACTACGATTGAACAGGAGAAGTTTGGGAGTGAAATGACAACACTCTTCCACATGAACATTGTGAGCTCTTGTGTTCAAAGAGCATCAGCTGGCCTAAAAGCTAAAACAAACAAATAAAAAAATCTTACTTTAAATCTTATTTTCTATTTTTGCCATGTTTTATATCCTCTCAGGGCTTGGGGATTTTTATTTTATTTTTTTCCATCCATACAAGTGCTATAACCCACAAGAAATCAAGACTTTCATAAATCTCTTTGTTCCCTATGCAGGTTTTTTAAGTAAAACGCCAAACATGATCATAAAGAATAAGAAAAGAGGGAGCATCAAAACATAGTCTATTTCTCTTCCGTTCAGACAGGAAATAAAGAAGCAAGAATCCACAATCACAAGATGTGAGAATATTTCTTTTTAATTTAAAACAGTTGCAACAACGTCATTCACAACCTTTCTCATCTCAGACAAATACTCTCCAAAATGTTAACAGTGCTTCAAGCAAACAACTCTGAATGGTGCAAAGTAAACCAGTACAGACACTTCCAGGATACAACAGTAAAACCACTGAAAAGTGAACAGAAATCAGAAACTGATCTCAGCCAGTAAGGTAGGAAGGGCAATGGAAAAAGAATGAAAAATCATGTCCAGTTACATATTTTGCATAGTCTTTCAATGCATGAAAACAGCAAAGAAGAAAAAAAATGGCTGCTGCCAGGATGGAGAACAAAAGGAATGAATTGGAGATGCTTCTAAAACAATCTAACGAACTCTGGTTGCCTCTGTATTCAGAGTGTGCACTATGACCCAGTGGAGGCTGCTTGAGTCAAAGAAAATGGCCTGATTCTGGTTTCAGTTACACCAAAGCAAGTCAGAAGTAATGCCACTGAACCCAGTAGAATTACAAGTGATAGTAGTCCAGAAACACTTAGGCTTGTTTTTAAACCATAGCTTTGAATAAATTAAATTCTTATCGTAATTATATTTTAGCTAGGAATATTAAACAGGAGTTTGTGTCTGCATGTGGAGACTGGGGATTGTGACTCAGAATGAGGGGTCTACTGGATCAAGCGTGCTGCTGGGAATGAGAGGGGGAAAGAAAAACAAGGAAGAGTTGTTGAGTTTTTTTTCCTTCCACTCTCCTAACCTAAATGTATCATACGAAAAAGTAAAGATCAGTCTGAGAAAAAAAAGAGCATTATTTGCTGCCAAGTCCTGGCTTGCCATAATTCTCCGGTTAGACTGTCTCAAACAACTCAGTGATTTTTCCTCCTCCACCCTTTTTTGTCAAGAAGCTCTCAGCACAACCCTAACCCTGCAACAGCTATTACAGTACCCAGACACACACCAGTTTCCCCATCAGCCACTGCCCAGGTTGTGCACTGAGGCATGGCCCAGCACAATTAAGTGCATACAAATTCTAGCAGGCAAAGCCTGATAATAGTCATCTGTTCAGTGCATTCTGTTTGACTGTGGCTTCTGCATGCTGAAGTTTAAAAATGACAAAACACAAAGAAAAAAAAACCCAAACTCCTCTCCCCAACATTAGGCTGAAGAGTCAGAGTTTACATCCTGCTCCTCCAGATTCATGATGGTCTTCACATGTATCCCATCACAAAAGTGATATGACTTTACTGGACATTTGAAAAAGAAGGGAAGCCACTACCTTGGGAGATAATTCCTCAAACAGCTGCAAAATTTTAACATGCTTCCAAGTGCTAAATTTTAGAAAATCTGTAAGCCTTTCCCCTAAACTGTTCCCTGCACTTCTGACCCACTTGGTAGTTTAGGCAGGCAGTACACTAGAGTAATGAACTGAAAAGAATTTCAGAAACCAAGCTCCTACAGTTCACCTATCACAGCCAGCAAATGGCTCTCCCCTTTCATTTACCTGTTCCAATTTACTTAGAAATCTGCCATCTTTCTAAGTGCACCTGCTATTAACTGAGATCAATCAGTCCCACAGCCATTCCAGTTTTAAGATGTACCAGACAAATGGTTCGCATGAGTCCAAGGTCCATCCTTAATCCTACAAGACCAGCCATACTTCCAGTTTAATAATGAACATTGGAACAACTCTGTTGGCCTTTATTTACCTGAGGTTTCTAAATAAAAAGCTAGTGGCCACCAGATCTTGTTAGTTTATAAATAGCCCTTTAAGTTCATGAGGCAAGAGGGAAGCTGTTGTGTTGAACTTCCTTGGAATATAACTGGGCATTCAAAAAAATTAAAAAAGAAAAAAGAAAAGGAAAGAGAGGCCTTTTGTCCTTTTTCTACTGCCAGAATGAAGAAGCCTAAACATAAATATATGGAAGTTTTGTTCTTTCACTTTAAATAGAAGTTGTATCACTGCATAATTTGCCGATCCCATTTTCAAATCTGGCATTTTTGGTGAAATATACAAATATTCAAAATCTGGAAGAAGAAAAAGACCTACTGGCAGCTTTTATTTTGTCCAGAACTGGTGGCTCAATAATTACAAGGCAGCTGAATCTCACAGGAGCCACTTACAAATGTGCTAGGATGCCGTTCTTTTGTGTCAGTAAGAGCACTAAGTGCAGGAAGCTTTCCCAGCAATTAGGCACCATTTACAGTCCACAGAATTATTCCACTAGAATTTCTCTCATAATCTTTTAAGATCAAAAACTGATTAAAAAAAAAAATCAGTGTTTTTGGCTCTGCATGAGGTTACTATATCACCAGAGGGAGAACTAATTTTCCCCAAGCGCTAGAAAAAATAAAATGCCCTACTCATAAACAGATTTTTAATTTGGCTTCTCTTCTGTAGTGTGTAGCTGGCTGAATTTTGCTATTAAACTTGCAGGCACTGTCTGCAGAGAAAACATAATTACACCTCCCTGCCTCTCTTGCACGCTCTAAGGAGGACTGTTTTTTCCTATTTTTTCTGACTGTTCCAATTTTGAGGGCTCAGTAAGATTATACGAAGCAACTCCAGCAACACTCTCTAGGCAGTGGCCAACACTGTAAACCTTTGGGGATTTTTTGGAATCATGAGAGGTTTCACACTCACTGTTGTATTTTTTCTACAATTAGTGTTTTCAAATAAAATTTAAAAACCCACATATGTGTTCTTGCCTGTGACACAAACTGAAGTAACACCCAAAAAAAGAAAGACAGGAAAGGCCAGCCCTTACCTACATACCCCTTCATCCCTGCCAGAGATACAAAACCCCTTTTAGAAGGTGTCTATTGAAGAGATCAGATTATTGGTGTGTTTGCAAGTTTTAAGAAAGCTGAAACATCATTTCAAGGTGGGTTTTTTTGTTGTTTTGGTTTTGTGGGGGGGGTGGTTTTCATTGTTTTTTTTTTTTTTAAAGGAAGAGAGGGGGCAGATCAATATATCAGCAATTTTACTAAGCCATTTCCCCACTCATGGATAGAACTAATATTTAAGCAATCTTTGGCAGAAAACAGAATTGCGCTGTGAGTACTTTGTCAGGGAGCTGATTTCAGCTGGAATGTGAGTGGTCTTAATGCAAGTTTCCCTGAAATAAATATAATGGGACATTAACCCCTTCTTTACCTCCTTCATAAGAAAATAACATTTAAATAATAGCCTTGTCTTTCCTGAGGGTATGCATTTAATTTTATGGTCTGCTTCTTTTAGCCATCTGTAATCCGGAATCTGTTGGAATAACTTGCAAAACAAAGATACGATGAAGAATCCTATGTCTGCAAAAATAAAATCTACTATTTCTCTTTGGCAGAAAACATACAGGGCACTGACAGGAGAATGCTTCCTTCTCCATTAGTTTCTTAGGTTTATATATCAAAAAGGCAAACCAAAATACGATAAACTGAATTCCAACAGATACAACTTTAGTTGACTTTTCTCACTCTATTGAAAACCATCTCTCAAAGAAGACATTCTGCTGCATTCAAAGATGACACTCACACACCCCCTCCCTCCAACTTTATATGTGATATGATTTCTCTACATGGTCTAGACTGGTTGAAAACACTGGCTCCCAGTTACCAAAGATGCAAGTATTTCTCCCTCGTCTTAAACAGATGCATGGACAGAAGGGGCAGGAGCTGGGCTGAACTGGACTATTTTTGTTCAACTCAAACTTCTGTTTTCTCCATATACCAACTGCAAACTCCACCAGTAATCTGCATGGTCTTAAGGTATCCTTTAAGGCATATAAATTTAAAACAACGTACTATATACCACCTAATAGAAATTTTCCCTCTAACACTTAAGGTGGCATCAAATGACTGTTTTTAAATAAACTATAAATATCCCATGTTTTCCTTTGCTTTTTGGCAGCCCAAGCGTTAGGGGTCTTCTGTTGGTTTTAGATTTTCTTTTTTATTGTATGCTTTTTTGGGCAGGTTAAAAAGGCTTGCGGCTTCTTAAGGCCAGGTAATAGATTTGAGGCCTAACTTGGTATCCTGTGGTAAAAATAAATGTAGCCCAGGTCTTTGGGAGGTCGTTCTGAGGCACAGACTCTAAGGTCATTGTAGATCACCCATCTGAAATGAAAACAAGATTGGTCACATTCCATGTGTATAAAAATCATCACAAGTTTATCAGGTACTTCTCAAAACCAAACTTCAAAGAGCCTAAAATCTAAAATTAGGCACTGCAACAAGAACAAAATATCAGCGAAACAGCTGAAGCAGGTTTACTGGCAGAGTCAGGAACTGAAAAGGAAGAGGGACGTGCAGAGGAATGTGTAGTTACAGTTCAACTGAAGGAAAATAAGGGATTCCCAGGGCCTAATAATAGGAACATATCAAAATCATGGCCAAGATAGCACCGCAGCATTAGCAATACCAGTATATCAGCCCACAGTTTGATGCATTTCTATTGTGGGGGAATGAAAGGAAGTTGGGGGAAGCTCAGATAAATGAAGTCAGATGCAGAACTGATGCCCCAAAACAAATAGGGATTTGGAAGAGCAAGCACAGGAGAGCCAATGATGCATTTTAGCATAGACCTCGGCAGGATCAAAATTGACTTATCACAGCTACAGACTGTAACAATCTTCATTTCTTTGCTGGAAAATGTATACATGGTAACAACATGCATGTTTTGTCTGCTATGAATACACAGCCTGCTATCTACAGATGCATGCTTCAAAGAAAACATTTGCTCATCCTTGTGTGTCTCTCCCAGTTGCACTCACCTTCCGTCTTTTTTGAGATGACAAACATAGTGGCCACTCATTGTGGATGTTCCCATGTGGCTGATGAACCCAAACAGCTCGTATCCTGTTTAAGAAATATGAATGGGAACATAAGTCTTTTATTGCTAACATTGCAATGTGACTCCAGGGAAAACTTTCTTTCTAATACTGGAGAAGCAGCTAAGCACTCCTAACTCAGACTCTGCATCCCCAAACACACTTTCTGTTAAGACTGCAGCAAATTCTCACTTTAACTAGTGGTTAGATTCACTGTCAAACCAACCAATCCAAATCAAATCCTCATAGATCTGTGCACATACAGCAGGACTGCGATGCAGCCCCTACTAGGAAAGGGAAAACAGCAGATTCATTCCTAGTTCACAGAGAGCACCACAAGAAGTGCCAGAAATGGAGTTCATTCTGCACACAAATTAGCTATGTCTGTAAGTGTGATCACAGATCCCCTATGAAACAAACAAAAATCAGAAGTTTAAATTTCAGCAGCCCATAAAAAAGAGGACAGGAAAGAAAACTCTTTCTTTAATACAAGGACAATTTTTGTGCTTAGAGTCTCTGGAGAACTCAGCATTGGTTTTTGCTCCCCACCCATTCATGCCATTCACCCAAATTACCACCAAAAGTAAAAGGGTACCTTCTTTCAGGATATTGCATAAGGACAGGGGCCTGGATTTTGGTGGAGAGGGCTTTCTGGAGCCATTTTACAGAATCATGTTGGTTATCAGGATTTCAGGCACTCAGTAAATGGTCTCAGTCTATAAAGGCTAGGTACCACAAAAAATAATTATTCAAAATCTTTTTTTTTTTTAAAAAACGTAATGATAATCAATGTTTCCCATGTCTCCAAGAGACTTAAGATTGATCTTTTTAATGTTAGAAACAAAGAAATGAATGTTCTTATATAATAACAGCAACCATGGAAACAAAAAACAAATTGGCTGTTCATTTTTTTTATAAGACCATTACATTCAAGATCAGAGGTACAAGTTTAGAACATACTACAGTTATTAGAATGGGTCACTAAAGACCCTTCAAAAAACATCTTTATGTTAGAACCACTGAGCTTTTGTACTCTAGTGCTTTTACACTTACAATAGGTTCTTTGCCTACTTCACAACTTTGCTGCACATCAGCCCCATCTTGTGGTTTATTTAGCAGTAGTATGACAGAGTCATCTCAAAGAATAAAGAAAACCCAAAAGAAAATAGCAAAGCAGTACATGCAGGATACCAACTATACCTGCCATACTTAGAATAGTGAACTTGGTTGAAGGGTTTATCAAATCTCCCATCAGACCACGGGAGGACAGAAACTCAGGTGGTCTGTAACAGCAGCATTACCTTTAGGATGCTCAGCCTCTGAAGATTTAAACATTCTAGCTTTTCTTTGTCTTTTTATATAGCAACAAAACAAAAAGTAAAGCTAGGCCAGGAAAGATTTATATGCTGTGGCAATAAGAAACTTGGACTTAAGTTATTCAGTGAGTCCACAGAAAGAGTTTTCTGAGCAAACACAGCCCACAGAACTTCGTGAGAGTTGGACTCAGCCTCAGCCCCAGAAGTAAGATTAGGAGCAAATTGCCTGGATCACGTCCAAAAAAACCACTTTCACAACAGAAAGGAGCTCTAGGAATGGTGTAGGTGTGATGTAACAACATGATAGCCAGTTCTAGGCTGAACGAGAACTTACTTCCAGACCCATCTTTGATCCTGGGTCCCTCTGACCCTGTCTCTGCAAGGACATTGGCATTGGCATTGTTCGCCATATTCATCATGTCCAAAGCAGGCTCGCTTTCTTCCTCGAGTTCAGGGTGGCTGAAGATCCATTCCAGTGCACGCTCCAAATTATTGTTCTGCGAGTCAAACAATCAAAAAAGCAGCCTTTAATACATTCTCTAGCATCATGCTACCACTCATCAGTCTTTGAACAGAGTAAGGATCATATCTGACAGCGCTTAAGACTTTTAAGATACATACTCTGCCTCCATGGAAAACAGTATTCAATAAGCACTCTGCAGAAACTTGTCAGATGGAAAAGAAATCCTCCCACAATTAATCCCCATGGTTCCTGGGTTCTCATCTTGAAGATGCATAGTCTTTAGGCATCCAGATTGTTTCTCAACAGGTGGTAAAAGAAGCTAAGTTTTCCTCTCTTTCCTCCACGCTTTAACATTCATGTGAAACACACAAACCACCTTCCCCGCTCTAACCCAGACAAGTCAGGCATCCCACATTTTGACAGAATAGTTCTATGTGCACCATCCACTAGCTGGATTTTCATACACATTTCAAAAGCATCTGAACAAGCACATGTACAAAGCACATAGTATGACATGAAACCCAAGTGCTACTGATAACTCATGGAACTCACTGTTGCCTTCAGCGCTTGAATTGCTAAATTCCTCTGGAAGCCCATGGAAATGATAATTGCAACCATCTCTTCAGGAGGTTGGTTATCTAGCCCCACAGCTCCAAATGCAGTGACCCCACTGGAAGCAACTTCTCCAAATGCAGATATGACCAATGGCTCAGCAAAGTCTAGAATAAACAAACATTCATCAGTTTGTTCTTTTGTCCCACTGAACTGGAAAGTCAACAACAAACACAAATAACAAATGGGACCTCAAAAGCAGTCCTGAAATCAATGTAAGTTCATTTCACTGGCCCACTTAGGACTTAGATGTGCAGAAAGCCTTAAAAACAACAAGATGAACATGCACATTACAAAATATCTAGGTGGACAAACTCAGCAGTCTAGAACAACTTGGCACATCACAGAGGTGAAACAACTGCAGGAAAGTTGCAAAGATTGGTAGGGAAGCAATGAAGACACCAGAATAGTAGACAACCCAGCTGATACACACATAGATGCAAAATAAACTGATTCCATAGTCGAAATATGTCAGCTAAGCCCAAGTGAAACTCATTGCCCATTTACACAAGCAACAGAAATGCCCAGAGTGAAGTGCGAGCTCAACCAAATCTGGAATTTCCTGGCATGGGAGTGCTCAGGTATAGTCAGTGCTGAATCATGGGTCCAAATTTTGCATGGATGAAAACACAGGAAGTGGAGAACATCTAGCAGCGCTGTCCATCAGCAGATAGCTCAAGTTCTAAGTACAGCATGAATGCTCTACCCTGAGCTAGAGGAGGCTGGTATGGAAGAAAAGCATCCAGATCACAGGATTCTTTGTACTTACACTTGAACCACAAGTCAGCTTCCCCCTTAGCAGCACGTACCTAGCCAAAGGGTGGAAACAGACAGCTGGGCGACACCATCAGTGAGGACAAGAGAGTGTACTTCTGGTGTAGCTTAGGTTTGTTGTCTTCTTCTAGGCAGAGGATGCCGTATAATGGTGAAAATCTGCATATCCCAGAAGCAGCTTAGGAAAACTCACTCACACCTCCAGGTTTCCTGGGGTGGGGAAGGGGGCCATTGTTTCTCTGTCACACATTATAAAATTTCTACTGACTGTCAAATTACACAACCAGGAGTTGAGTTTAACTTACACTTTCCAATCACTGACCTGGTTCTTCCATGTGTGCAATGATCCAGTTGAAAGCCACTTCAGCACCCAGGTTGCCTGTATAGTACACAGCTTTCCGACATGCTTCCAAAGGAAAACCCATCTCTGCCAGTTGCATTACTGAAGACTCATCGATATCTAGAGCTACAAGAAAGGACCTTCTAAAATATAAAAGTCCAATTTCATCCATTGTATAGCATTTCTTATTGTTATTCATGGTGCCACATATTACAGTACATCTCTTTTGTATTTGTTTTAGTACTGCAGTAAACCCACACCCACCAGAAAACAGCCTTGTACAAAGCGTTATAGTATTTGTTACGGATTACTGGTAATCTTTGGTCTCAGTAATCTACATAGGTCCTTAAACCTTGATGAATTCCTACAGGACTTTATTTATTAAAAAAACTCACCACTGGATTTCAAGAGGTGAAGAAGTTAGGTGCTGAGCTTAGCTAGAGACGGCAGCCAAAAGCAATCACCTCTCTTAAAGGCAGGATCTTGCAGGTGAGAGAAAAAACGGCTGCTGGATCTGGCAGTCTCCAGTTGAACTTCATCTCTGAGTGACAGGGCCCGACAGCTTCAGCTGAGGTTAGAGTCCAGAGCGAGCCAGGATCAAGCAGCTGTGACACCCAGAACTGCAAGATCCTGCTGATGAGCAGCAGATAAGAGGAGCGGCTCATATTCTGGCTACGCTGATGCTACTACAGACTCTAAGAGTCCTGCACACATGCAAGTAAACACTGAACAAGTACAAAAATCAGCTGTTATTTAGAAGCATGCAGGCAATACTCCATGCATCTCTATGAGGACAGATAAACCATTAGCTGAGCAAAAACATGACCATTTTTTTAAGCTGAAATACCAGTCTTAGAAAAAGAGAGATACGTACACTCCACCAAATGGTTCGTCATACGATCTAAAAATTGAGAAAGAAAAAAAAAACAGGGAAAAAGACTTATATGAAGGCTGAGTAGATTCATATGGGAAAAACAATTCCATGATTTTAAAGTCATAGAAACATTTGACCTCTTACAGGCAGGGCATGTTCATCCTTAGATCCCTAATGTTTTTGCCATGAATTAGACCACGGATGTTTCTGCCCAATGATTTCCCTAACTCATCTCAGAGCAAAGTGTCACTGGTACTATAAATCCGTAGGAAATATAGCTGATGACTGACCTAAACCAACTTAAGGAAGAACCTGTTTTGTTATCAATAAGGTACCATTACCCCATGCACTTACACGACAATTAGGTCAGTCCATTGAGCAAGAGGATAAAAAAGAATAGGCTTTGTTAAGGAACCTACACGAGGGACAAAATTAAAACTTTTAGAGAATTGAATTTTGCCATAGCCTTTGCTCTGACAGACAATTTCAGGTACTTGCTTCCTTTCACATGCACTGAATCGTGATATATACACAGCTTGATACTATACCACTACTATTATAAATATCCAAGCAAATGGGGCGATCATGCCATGACAGTAGTTGCCTGCATTGCAGGCAAGGAGAATCTCCATCCCTTATTGGATATGGTGGGGAACATTGTCAGCAAGGATGAGGACAAAGCTAAGGTACTTAATGCCTTCTTTGCCTCAGTCTTTAATAGCCAGACCAGGTATCCGCAGGGTATTCAGCTCCCTGAGCTGGAAGATGGGGATGGAGAGTACAATAAACTCCTCATAATCCATCAGGAAACAGTTAAGGACCTGTTAAGCCACCTGGACACCCACAAGTCTATGGGACCTGATGGGGTCCACCCAAGAGTACTGAGAGAGCTGGTGGAAGAGCTTGCCAAGCCACTCTCCATCATTTATCAGCAGTCCTGGTTAACAGGGGAGGTCCCAGAAGACTGGAGGCTTGCCAATGTGACACCCATCTACAAGAAAGGCCGAAGGAGGATCCTGGGAACTACAGGCCTGTCAGCCTGACCTCCATGCCGGGGAAGATCGTGGAGCGGTTGGTCTTGAGAGTGCTCACAGGGCATCTGCAGGACAACCAAGGGATCAGGCCCAGCCAGTATGGGTTCATGAAAGGCAGGTCCTGCTTGACCAACCTGATCTCCTTCTATGACCAGGTGACCCGCCTGGTGGATGAGGGAAAGGCTGTGGATGTTGTCTACCTGGACTTTAGTAAAGCCTTTGACAGCGTCTCCCACAGCATTCTCCTGGAGAAACTGGCGGCTCCGCTGGGTAAAGAACTGGCTGGACAACCGAGCCTGGAGAGTTGTGAATGGCATGAAATCCAGCTGGCGGCCGGTCATCCCAGCGCTGAGTTCTGGGGCTGGTTTTGTTCAATATCTTT